GACTGCTATAACATGAAATATATGGCAGAATGCGAGTAAAACAGAGCCGAAGACACACAGTTCTCCCCCAAGGAGTTCAGTCACAAATTTAGTTAACGCATTATTTTTTAACAAGCATCAGCAGCATGGAGGCATGTCCTCTGGAATGGTTGCTAAAGCATGGGGGGAGGCATAGCTCAGTGGTTTGAGCATTGGCCTGCTAAATCCAGGGTTGTAAGTTCAATCCTTGAAGGGGCCACTTAGGGATGTGGGGCAAAATCAGTACTTGGTCCTGCTAGTGAAGGCAGGGGGCTGGACTCGATGACCGTTCAAGGTCCCTTCCAGTTCAGGGAGATAGGATATCTCCATTAAAAAAAAATATGGATGTTTAGCATATCTGGCACAATAATACCTTGCAACACCATCTACAAAAGTGCCATGCGAACACCTGTTCTCACTTTCAGGTGACATTGTAAATAAGAAGCAGGCAGCAGCATCTTCTGTAAATGTAAACAAAGTTGTTTGTCTTAGCGAATGGCTGAACAAGAAGTAGGACTGAGTGGACTTGTAGGCTCTAAAGTTTTACAGTGTTTTGTTTTTGAGTGCAGTTATGTAACAAAAAAAATCTGCATTTGTAAGTTACACTTTCAGGATAAAGAGATTGCACTACAGAACTTGTATGAGTTGAATTGAAAAATGCTATTTCTTTTGTGTATCATTTTTACAGTGCAAATATTTGTAATAAAAATCATATAAAGCAAAAATCACTGTACACTTTGTATTCTGTATTGTAATAGAAATCAATATATTTGAAAATGTAGAAAAACATCCAAAATATTTAATAAATTGCATTTGGTATTCCATTGTTTAGCAGTAGAATTAATTGCAATTAATTTTTTTAGTTGCGAATCTTTTTTTTTTTGAGTTAATTGTGTGAGTTAACTGCGATTGACAGTCCTAGTTGTAACCTTTAATTCGTCTCCCCTCCTTTCAATCTCCATCTCGGTACTATACCAGACTGTCCCCCCTCCTATTTGAGTTGTCCATTGAGCTGCTAGCAATACAAATTAGAGCACACTGGGGGATCCAGAATATAAAAATAGGCCCCGAAAAGACAAAAATGTGCTTATATGTTGATCTACTTTTATTCATCACCAACCTCCTTCAGCACATCACCAACATATTACAAACCATTGCATTATTTGGGAAAATCTCAGGTTACAAAATTTATTGATACAAATCAGAGGGTCTCAGTATCTCTCAAGGGGGTTCATAATGTCACCCTCTTAAATAATACTTTTTATAGGCAGCAGGTCAGGTACTTCGGTACTTTAATAGGCAGCAAGTCAGGTACAGCAGGTCAGGTGCTCTTTCCTAGGAATATAAAAGAAATAGTCAGCATTAATTTAAATCCTCAGATCACATAGATAGCTTTGGATTTACATGGATGGCAGGCCCTCCTTCTATCCCTTTGGGGCAGAGATAATATAATAAACATGAATGTCCACCTAAAGCTTCTATTTGTCCTTAGCTCCTTGCCAGTTTATATTCCCCCTTCTGTTTTTTGGTTGTTGTTTTTTTCTCAGAATAAACTGCATTTTCCAGATCTTCTTGTGGGCAACAAGCCCAGATTATCCTTTGAAAAAAATGCAGCCGCCTATAGACTTAGGAGGCTTTGGTCTACCCAACTTTAGGCATTGCTATAAATCCTCAGGCTTGAGCCAAGAATCACAATGGTTGACCCCCTGATAGGCTTTCTAGCCTGGCTGTACATGGAGGAAGGCTGTGTAGCCTCACTACCACTAGAATCAGTCCTAAACTCAGATTTCTACAATTTCCCCAAGGAGAAATCGGTCACAATTTTGACCTCTAGGAAAGCCTGGTATTTGGTTGCTTCTAAATGTCTTCCCTTCAGAGTCTTTTCTTTGAACTAACTCCAAAATTTTAATTGCTCCTAAACCCAGTCTATAGTCTGAATGGATTCAAAAAAAGAGAGGGGGGGATTTTTGAGCACAAACCACATGATTGAAAATGATTCCTTCATGCCCTTCCCTCTCCGGAAGGGGAATTCCAACTGGATCCAAAGAAGGAATAGCAATTCCTTCAACTTAAACATGCTCTGCAATGCAATTTAATCCAGATGCCTTTGCATCACTGCCTTCCCTCCCCCGCAGCCTTGGGTCTTTCTGAAAAAGTTACACTGTCGCCCTAAGGTTTTGTCTAGTCTGTATTCCTACCTATCATTGAAATTGGCAATCACCAGTGACAATGTTAAAAAGAAATGAGAGAATGAGCTTTCGTTTTCCCTTATCAACATTCTGTAGAATCAGATTTGTTCCAATGGGCAGCATTGTTCATAAATTTGGGGTTTGGAGGAGGCACTGGACTCCCTGAGGACTTTTGAGCTCAGGAGGAGCTAGGTCTGGCAAATGCTGGTGCTGCAAGACAGCAGGCCCTAGCATATACCATGTGCTTTGGGATTGCCCTGTGCCCTGTCTTTTCTGGACAGAGGTAAATATTCGGGCCAATTTATTTCTCTCCACCAAGGTGGCGCTTCAGCCAGGCCACACCTTCCTAAATCTACCTAACCCACCTTGGAAATGGAAATCCTTTGAAAACCTGTGGCTGAGTAGAGCTTTGATCATAGTCAAATGTCTAATTCTACAATGATGGAAGTCCCAAGTGTGCCCAACTATCAAAAAATGGTGCTCTACATTGGGGAGCTTGGCGGCAATGGAAAAAAAATAATGTTTTGCAACAGAAACAACTAAGGGTATGTCTACACTACGAAATTAGGTCGAATTAATAGAAGCCGGTTTTATAGAAATCGGTTGTATACAGCCGATTGTGTGTGTCCCCACATAAAATGCTCTAAGTGCTCTAGTCGGCGGTCTGCGTCCACAGTACCGAGGCTAGCGTCAACTTCCGGAGCATTGCACTATGGGTAGCTATCCCACAGTTCCCACAGTCTCCGCCGCCCATTGGAATTCTGGGTTGAGATCCCAATGCCTGGATGATGCAAAACAGTGTCGCGGGAGGTTCTGGGTACATGTCGTCAGGCCCCTCCCCCTCCGTCAGAGCAATGGCAGACAATAGATTCGCGCCTTTTTACCTGGGTTACCTGTGCAGACAACATACCATGGCAAACATGGAGCCCACTCAGCTCACCGTCACCATATGTCATCTGGGTGCCGGCAGACGTGGGACTGCATTGCTACACAGCAGCAGCAGCTAACTGCCTTTTGGCGGTAGACGGTGCAGCATGACTGGTAGCCTTCATTGGCGATCTGGGTGCTGGCAGCTGTGGGGCTGGCAGCCGTAGGGTTGCATTGCACCAGCCCCTTGCCTTTTGTCTTTTGGCAGTAGATGGTGTATTACGA